AGGGAACTTCTGGAACTTGGGCCTGTGGGGAATTGTGGAAGCAGTCAGTATCAGCACATTTAAAAACAGGTTAAAGAAATGCATGTACAACTGAGCCATAAGCAAGTACTAAAGGGAGCGGACTTGAATGTCCACACTACAACAGTTAGGGGTGTTGGGTTGATACAAAAGGTATGCACAGTAGGCTTGTGTTGTCTAAACAGTGCTTGCTGTTGGCAGTGCTGAAGGTAGGGTTGGATAGACCATTGGTCAGACCTGGAGAGCAGTTTTTATGTTCTATGAGCATGAGGAAGAAAGTTCTTAAAATGAGCAAGAAAAGGATGGAAAACTATATTGAAATGTACTGAGTATTCCCTCCCTTGGATGTTTTACCAACAAGCATTTTACTAGAAATGTGACAGTTGCTTCAGAATTGCTGATGCGCTGCTTAGCTGTTGCAGTGATGAGGAGGGTCAGCTGCCACTGAAAATGCCGCTGCGCAGAACAGGCTCCTAAACCAGCTGCTCAGAAGCACAGAGTCTCCTTTTTAAAGGACTTGTGAAGAAGCTTTCAGACTCTAGCTCGTAAGTGACTTGGAGGATCAAAATTTAGTTCAGTTGAATAAAAAGATGTGAACAGGAAAATGAGTTTATTGACAAAGGAAAAGTTTACTATTTTGTATATTGTAACCATTGTCCTTCACTATAGGTTCAGGTTTGTTTTGTTCACTTTCATGCATGTTAACTTAATTACCTTGTAGAGTACTGCTGATTGGTGTGTGGCATGAAGCAGAAAGCTGATTTCCAGATACTAGGTTCTTGGAGATTAATTGAATTCCAACTTTTTAAGTTACTGTTCGAGGGGAGGAAAAAAAAGCCAGACATAGTATGGTACCCTGGTTCCTTACATAATTTTGCTAATCCTTTCTATGTGTATGAAACCACCTTAAATATTCTTTGATTTGTCTCAAATACAGAGGGGGGGAATTTGGGGTGTCCTCGTTAGGTCTTTACTAGCTTCTTTTAGTTAACCCACTTCCAATTTATGTTGGGTGCCAAAGTTCAGCCAACCTGAATGTAAATGTTTGTCTCTCTAAAGCAGGCATATGGCTGCAGGAAATAAAATCTTGTACTAATAAATGTAATAGTTTCTTATCTCGTGATCACTTTTAACATTTCAAATTAGAGGGATAACGGGAAGCGAAGGTAAGTGGAGGTGGGTAGAATTACAACGTTGATTTATACTGTCTGTGCTCACAACTTTTTCTTTCTTTTTGAATGGCAAGTTTTGGCCTTACGGCTTCTGATAACCGCAGTGATTTTCTCTTTAGTTTTTGAATTTCCAGTCAAGAGTCCATGAGGTCTAGCCAACCATGAAGTGTTCATGGAGAAGAAGCCTTCCGAACGAAACTGTTTCCTGTATAGTAGAAATAGTTTTGGAGATAATGGTTTATTTGGTAATGCTATGAAGTAGTTATCTGAATTTGAAAAATGGGAGTTAAATGTGTATTGTGAAAATATACTTCAGTTCTGAAAGCTGTGAGAGCTTGCTTAAACTTGCTCATTTAGTGTTGCTCATCGTAGATCTGTGTCACTTTAAATGTGTTATCTTCATGGGACTAAACACAAATCTCTTGAAAAACTGCAGTTCCAGTTGAGGTTTTATACTGTGGTAGTGCTGGCAGTGTTTCAGACTTCACAGTGCTAATTGAAGTTTAGTGTATTAAAAAGAGAGCTTTTCTGAATTACCAGGTTATGTGAATTCTGTGTCTAAATAAATGGTCCTTTCTTCTTTTCAAATGTGTTCTGTTTTTGTGCAGGTCCTCATGCTGAAACCGCCAGTGGATGCCAGAATTTGCAGTGTGGTTTTCGGGCCTGCTGCCGCTCTGGCGAATGACCGCTGACTTCTGATCTTTCAGTCTACTTCATTTAGCTGAGCAGGCTTCCTTTCATGCACTTTACTTACAGTTTGCATCTTGTGTTAACAATCCTTGGAGTGACATTTGTTATACTAGCGTGACCCTGCCCACAACTTCAAAATGTTAATGATGAGTGTACTGTACAGTGTTGTAACAATATCACAAAATCTCATTTGGTTTGAAGGGTGTTGGGTTTTGTTTTACTTAATTTGGGGAAGATGGGAAAACATTCAGATTTTTTTTAAATGCCACTTTCTTTCAAGTTTGGCACTTAAATATACTTTACTGGATTATTTTGTGTTAAGTGAACGGTTTTTTAATTTTGAATCTGTAAGTACAGTGTAAAGCTCTGCAGAGAATTTGAGATGTACTGTTTGCATCTGCGTAACAGTTATACATCTTTAGGAGCCTTGTTTCTCCCCTTTTCTTCTCATCCTGAAGTTGTTCTTTATATTGCAAAATTAGGGAAATTCTCACCTTCCTTTTGCATTTGGATTTGTATTTGGACTTGACAGACATACTCAAATAAAACATTCCCACCAACAAAACGTAGCACTTGAATACGTTTGTTTTTAAGGTGCAATATCCAGGTGTTCCATGCCAGTAGGCTGCAGAGATGGGGTGCGTGTTGTGGCAGTTGCAGAGCTGTGAACCTTGCAGTGGGGTGGAGGGTGCTGGGGGGCTGCTTGTGTGGTTGTTCTTCTCGTGACTGGGTTAAGATACATTTTTGAAACAGCTTCAAGGGATGTCAGTCTTCATTCATATGAATTCTGTGGAAGAAAACAATACCTTTTCCCCATTGCCTTGATTTTTTTAAAGACCCTTCACTGAACAGCAAGAATGAGCAGGGAGGCAGAAGCCATTGCTGGGCTGAGTGAAACCTGCACTAGAAAGAGAAATGAGTAATGTATGAGTT